TCGTCACTGACGAAAGCTAGTGGATACTAGCTGAAACGTCTGACGTTTTCAAAATCATATCCAGTTGCTTGAGTAACTGTTTTTTGGCAAATTCATCTTTCATAACAATATTATGAACAATATTATGAAGGCATTTACTAAATATTATTCATTTGACAAGGTATCGAAGTAGGTGCAAACCACAATCCCAACAGATGCAATGATTATACACAACAGCTACTTAATATCTGCTTAGAGAACCTCGGCCACTAGACTTGAACATACGCCTATTCCACAGGATTGTAAAAGTAGGGGGTGTTTCTGAAAAATGCATTTACTTCAAAATGAAAACTGCTACAGTAAAAAGAAAAAAAAAGTGCATCATCACGAACATAATGGCACACCACATGCCCAGTTACAGAGAAATACAACGGACACAGTCATCTTTTAGCTGCGAACACATTTAAAATCATAAACAACGACGATGCACAGCTGGTTCAATCAACCACCAACCCCCCTCCCCCCCCGGCTATTCAAAACAACGGCGGTTTTACGGCCAGTCCAATGTTCCTATTATATGTAGGGATGCTTCTGAAATGTTACATTGACCACGAAAACAGCCACGGTAAATATAAACATACGTGCATCATCACGAGCATGCCTAAGGACGACGTATAAAATTACATGCCGATTAAACAAAGGGAACCCTGTGTGTTATTTGCGAACGCGAAAAAAAAAGACTGACAACAATATGATATCTCCTTCACGGAGTAATAAAGACAATATATTTCATCAATACCCATTGTATGGAGTGAAAGATAACAAGTGTAACCTGTATATAAATCAGTTATTGAATAAATTCAAGTAGCTGTTAGACCTGTTGGGCCACGAGAGCTATCGTTGTGTATGGACAGTTCTCCTGTTTAGAGAAGTAATGTAGTTACTTGGTTTATTTTGCATAACGTCATGTCCTATCTGGGTGTCTAACCTTCATCGACGTACAAGGGTTTTAAGTTTTTCCACCAATTTCACACTTCCCATAATGCCTAGTAACGGTCACGGATATGACGTAAGACCACCCCCTCCTCCTTCCTCGGTGTAATATTTCCAACAAGTTCTATCGACAAACTGGTCAACTATTGTTTTGAATTATTTCTCTAGTATAAAGCGCATGCCATAATTGAATTTTTGTTGGAATTAGAGAAAATGACGTACCTTCTATCGCTCTAATATACGTATTACATAAATGCGACCGTGCGAGTAGGAGAGTCTTCGGTAGAAGGTAGAACGATAGAAGGTACGTCATTTTCTCTAATTCCAACAAAAATGCAATTATAGCATGCGCTTTATACTAGAGAAATGATTCAAAACAATAGTTGACCAGTTTGTCGATAGAACTTGTTGGAGATATTACATCGAAGAAGGGGGAGGGGTAGTCTTACGTCATATCCGTGACCGTTACTAGGCATTATGGGAAGTGTGAAATTGATGAATGGTTTCTCTCTTGTCAGGACGATGATGATGATTCGTCCTCATCGTCGTCGTCGTCCTCGTCGTGTTCCTGTTCTGGCAGCAGATCATGCCAGTCCGGGGACTGCTGCTGTGACTGTGCCTCCATGGCAAGTGACAACAAACACGGTTCCACCGACTCCCTGGATAAAACAGGCAGCAAACGTGACAGTAGGTAAGTTACCAGGCTTACATGTCATTGTTCTAAAGAGTGCGTTTTCGGGGTTGAGGGTTGAGAAGTGTTCGTACTCGGTGTTTATTTCAGAAACCGTAATTATTGATATGAATCTTTATTGCATGTTCTTGCCCAGATGGGCTAAATGCACAAGAGGACATGCAAAAAACATGAGTATTGCATACTGGTACGCTATATTCTAATGCTAATTGCTAGGAATTTATACATTATAACAATACTATATACTACCTATCATCTACTGTTAGTTGCCCTTTCTTCTCTCTCTTTGAAACAATTGGAAACATACTTACATAGTTTGTCTGCTATATATTCGTTCTTGCATGGCATCAAGTGTTTAAACATGTCTTGCTTTGACATTTCCCAGTGATATCTTGTCTAAATGATTATTATTATTATCATTATTATTAATAGGGGCGATTCGCAAGCGAGTTGACTATTTCACATGGCCAAGAATGTAAACAAGACAAAAAGCTGTCTTGATGATGTTCTTTTCATGGATATCTGATTCATGACATGAGTCGTTATTCAATGATACTGGGTACTAAAAATCAATCAGTTATAACTATGCTTGAAGTGGTGGCAGATTTGCTTATATACTATCATTTGACATCCCTTTTCTAGAGTTTACAAATGTAGGTCAAAGACATAAATATGAGTAGCTATTTAATAACTACCACGGCTTTGGACATATATGGATAAAACCTGAAGCTTATGAAGCAGATTATATTACACACAATCTTCGCCATCGGCTACAAGATACACATATATAAGAGTGGTTTAGTTTCATTAGAAATAATTCCAAGCTGTCTTTTCTGAGCAAATTAAAAAACTGTTATGAACAAGAAACATACCTCTCTGATATATATAACTTCGAAATTCGTAAAGCAATAACTCAATTAAGAATCAGTAGCCATAAATTGAATATTGAAACAGGTAGATATTACAATATATATAGCCCCTGACCAATGGTTCTGTCCTGTTTGTCCAAAGCATATAGAAAATGAATTTAATTTTGTTATGGAATGTACCAAATATGATGTTACATGTACAAGTAACAAGCTATTTACATTTCTCGAATCAAGTACAACAGATTTCAAGAGTCTCGATGTTGGAGACAGATTTGAATATATCTTTACATGTAATGGTTCCCACAACGCAAAAATAGGTAGATATATAAAGGAATGCTTTGTTGGAATGCCCACCCGATTGTTACACTTTATCAAAGACTTCTGCTATCCCTTATTATTTGAATAATCATGATGTAGATTTGTTAGGTTTATTCGACATTAGGTCTTGTTCAACACATTTTATTGTTGTTACTCTCTTTATGTAGTTTGCCATACATTGTACCATGTGCAATTGTCGTGCAATAAAGTTCTTCTTTAATGTCTTTGTACACAGATTCAGCATTCACAGCGTGATCTTGCGGAGTAGATCGTATGAGTTGTTGAGTGACGGCGTTGTTCCGAGTTCTACTATGGACAGCATGATTCATAGCCCAGATACAGACAGAACGTCTCTTCCAGGCATCCTCAGCGACCAATCGGAAATGGATATGAAGGTAGTAGACATATAACGTTAAAACTAGAGAAGTAACATTTCCAATTGAAAGCAAATGCATAATGTTTACGTATACCTTCGGACATGGTCTGCTCTATTAATTCTTACTCAAACACGTTCACATACATGTACTACTAGTATATGGTGACAGGAGCAGAGTAGACCATGAAATTGCAACATTATGTAACCCAACACCAGTCACTATGGTGACAGACGTAAACAAATCATTTCATTGTTCAGGTCAGAGGTCACTATTTGGAGAAAAAGAAGAGGAAGAAACTGAGTAAAAACAATATGTTTTCCTTCGGTAAACATAATAACTTGCTATTGTGAGCAATTAAACTCCTGACAGAGCCATGGCCTATCAACAGCTTACAGCTGGAAAGAGTTCTACAAGACAAGACAAGACTACTTACGTATTACGAAACCCGTAATGTATTGTGCATAGCACTTCGACAGAACGTCTCATATTTATAAGATTGTAATCGCGCATGTAAGGTTAACACTCCGTCTGTACTTTCCAAATGTTATGTCGTAAAAAATATCGTCTGCAGCAGGCAAATTTCAGATGCAAACAAATTACAGATTACAAAATAACACATTACAAAAAATCCTACGAAAACCGAGAAAATTGGGGGTTTTGCGCAAGCCCAGTACGCTTTGTCGACGTGCTCAGCTAACCTATCATCTTTGTGGATTTTCCACTTCATACATGTAGATAGAAACACCGGAAATGACGTGATACCTTCATCATGTAACAACACTGTGTTAGTCTGAATCTCTGTCTAGGCACGATAATCTACTTAAGCTAAGGTCCCAATTGAGAAAAGGGGCCCTGGCGGGTAGTTCCCGGGCTGTTTTTTACCACTTTCAGGCGGGACCCCGACGTGGCCCCGCGGGGCACTCTGCGGCTACCGGGCTATTATTTGGCCCGTCGGGGCCCCGATAAGAATTTAATTCTGAGTTAAATTCTACCCGGGCCCCGCTGACAAAAAGACGCCGAGACCTCATCGTGAGAACACCGAGAGGTACCCCTCCGGTTGCCGGCAGTCCACCGGGACACATTTCTTACGTCACAGACCAGATGAACAGAATAAAGGTGTGTACTTCGTAAACCCGGGTAAAATGTGTGACCTCACAGATCAAATGATCACAACAAATACGTGAATTCTGCATTACGTATAGGTCAATACAAGTCATCGTCAGAGAATCTGCCTGTTACCTGCCGGGTGCCTGCCGGATACCGACCAAAGAGGGTGATAAAATTTCTAACAAAATGCTACTGAAGGAAACTTTTAATTGTGACCACGACAGCCGATGCCCGCCCGACTCCTGAACCCGGCAGGGGCCAGCCGGGGCTACATCCCCGACGGGCACCGGCGTAATTGGGACCTTAGCTTTAAGTATATTGACGTTACTATCTTGTCATTTATTGAGTTTGTTTGTTTGTTTGTTTGTTTGCTTTTATTAGATCTCCATTAGTGTTCAACTAGATGGATATGATATTACCATGCCTGCTGTATGAATGAATTAATGAAGCTTAATTTAGTGTATTTATACGCCCATCCTGTGTGGCCTGATATTAAAGACAACAGAAGAAAATATAGAGCAAATGCTACATAAATAGAGAGAGCAGGGGTACAGATTGACAATAGGTCAATACTGAACAAAAAGCTGTGTTTATGTCATTCCGTAGGTCATTTCCGAAGGAAAGGTTCCCAATGGGATGGTGGTGGAACCACGCTCTGACAAGGTCAGCGACTGGCCAGGTGTAGGAGACATCAGGGGAAAATCGAGCAGGGAAATAGCATGTAAGATTCTATTAGATTACATACTACCCAAGTAAAGTACAACGTATAGATAGATAGATAGATAGAGAGAGAGAGAGAGAGAGAGAGAGAGAGAGAGATCGTCTTGTATGTCTTGGCAAGCTAAGTTCGCCGGTTCGAATGCCGCTGTCGGCAATATTTTTATTTTCTTTGCCGAAATGTCAGCTTTTTTTAAAAGCCCATCCGACGTGGCGATGCCTTTATCTAGTTCTTTTCTGTGACCGGACCAACTTTTTAAAAAAGCTTTTCTTGTTTTAAAACGGACGATATCGCGCGTATGTCATCCATATAATCACATCAACAGAGCCTTACATGGCTTAAAGCCGTTGCCGGTTTCCTTCATAACTACTGATAACACAATCATCTACCTCATATGCTACATCAAAAATGGTTTTCCATTCTTCTTCTTGTATTTCCTCGTTCCATTCACAGGGTACTATGATACGGATGACGAAGAAGACGCTGAAAACAAACCAAGACTGACTGAGAAGTTGAAATCTTGGTGTTGCAATACCTTTTGGAACAGTTGGGAGTGCTGTTCTTGCTTCAAACGATTTCAAGAAATTCTATCCCTTTTAGTCATGGACCCGTTGGTAGACCTATTGATCACACTATGCATTGTTCTGAACACGATGTTCATGGCTATGGACCATTACGGGAAAAGCGAGTCTTTTGAGCTGACCCTTAAAACCGGAAACTACGTAAGTACAATCAGGTCTATCAACATCGCCGTTAGAAGCATCTGCAGTCACTTTTTCTCAGACTGCCGAGGTCAAAAGTGATTATACCTTTGCATGAAATCGCATCTGTGTGAACATTAATGCGTTTGAAATCAGCTCAAAGTTTCAACTCATTTTGGTCGTCCAGGTTGATCAAATTTGAATTAGCAATCATCGACCAAAAAGTCGGTGTGAGCTTTGCCGTTTTGTTGCAATCTACTTATGCCTGAGAAAAATGCATGTTTTCAAACCACAGGTTTTCACGGCCATATTTGCAGCTGAATTTTTTCTGAAGTTGCTTGCCCTCGGGCCTACGGTGTACTTCAGCAGTGGTTGGAACTGTTTCGATGCCATCATCGTTATCCTCAGTCTGGCCGAGCTTGGATTGGAAGGCGTCCAGGGGCTGTCTGTTCTCAGGTCATTCAGATTGGTCAGTATCCTAAATGTCTTTGCCCAAGCTCCACGACTCTGTATTCATTTCAATATTTGCATTGATCAACAGTAATATTTTCTAGCAGTTTTGCTCCTAATATGATAAATCTATAACAGTCAAGTAGGTTTATTGTCTTATTATTGTCAAGAATCAAGATATGTTACCTTTCTGTACTTAACATGTCACAAATATATCTATGTGGCACCCGAATGCTTGTCATCCCAGACACGATAGAGTAAACACTCCAGCTTGTTGTCAACGATGTTGTTCTGATGTTAACCTTTGTTCCAATTAACAAGATAACAAGGTGCAGTTGTCTCCTGTTTTCTGCAGCTAAGAGTATTTAAGCTGGCGAAGTCCTGGCCGACGTTGAACCTGCTCATCTCCATCATCGGCAGCTCCATAGGCGCCTTGGGAAATCTCACGTTCATCCTCGGCATCGTTGTCTACATCTTCGCTGTGATCGGGATGCAGCTTTTTGGAGCTGAGTACGAGAAGAGATTGGATCTTTTTGACGGCGAGGTAAACAGTTCTATGTTTCCTACCTTAGGCCGGACCGACAGGCATTTACATCATATTTACCAATTTTCGGCAAGTTGACCATCGTCCGGTGGAAAAACAATTTCTTTTTTTTTTCAAATTCAGGTGAAATTTAATGCGCGCGCTGATGTCATCCATAAGAATTACTTATCGATCCGAGGTATCAAAGGCCTTGTTCATATGAAGCCACCCGATCCGCGATTCGGGTAACTCGCATTCCTCACATCTGGTCCACGTGCCATACATCCCTTTCAAACCGTGCCCGATCACGATTCTCCGAAACTGCATTCATTGTTGTTTGATGAAAACACGAAATGTCAGAGGTCAACGACCTGCTTGCTGGTGCCCCCTTCCCAGCGTATCTCGGCCGAATGCCGACGTGGTCCCGCCAGAGGCGGTGAAGCTCGTCCTAGAACGGACACATTATTTGACCCTTACTGCTCTTTAATGCCAAATACCAAAATTGCTGCCACGTAAAATTTGGTATTGCGTATAAATAAAGAAATATCACCCCGTAATCCATGACAAGGTGAAGTCACATTGGAATCACATTGCGTTCAGACGCAAATCGCGATGCGGGAAAACCGATTCGAAACCACCTCTAGAAGTGGTTTGGGATTGAGGCACTTTCAATGTGATTTGGAGCGTTCTTATGGGACCACTTGAAACCGACTTCGAGGGAAACCACATGTAAAGCGCCTTCACTGACTTCATATGAACAGGGCCAAAATTAGACTACAGCAGTAGCGTGGATGCGGATCAAGTTTCTTTTGGGTGTCCGACTAAATATTGTTTCCTCTATCTTGGTACGTTTTGACAGAGTTTACATATGTACACATATATGTGACCTGCTTATATGTTTCCATTATAGTTACCCAGATGGAGTTTCGTGGACTTTTTACACTCCTTCCTGATCATCTTCCGAGTGTTATGTGGAGAATGGATTGAAAACATGTGGGTGTGTATGCTCGTCAACGGATGGGCCTGTATCCCACTCTTCATTCTGTCAATGATCATAGGCAATTTGGTGGTAAGCGCTTATTTCCCACATTCTTTCCTAAGGCCACAGCAAATAAATATTATTGATGACATCCTCCGCAGACTCCAAATCTAATGCGAACGGGCGAAAAATACAAGACGGGCCGAAAAAAACAAGATTCCTACATTTAAAAATTTTGACTCAATCATGGTACAAATGGTTTTGATTCAGTGGGAACATCACATATACACAGCCAGCATCACATATCACTGCATCAAAGTAAGAAACAAAACATATTAAATGAGAGTCTTTTCTTGTCTCCTCTCTTCATAGTTACCTGCCATCCACCTTCTGGCATGACAGCAGACATCTTTGCCCATTTTCGGCATGTTGACAACTGTCAGAAGGCAACAAAATTTCTTGTTTTTTTTCAAAATCAGACGAAAATTAATGCGCGCGCTGATGTCATCCATAATAATGACTTGCTTGAGTGGCCTAATACTCAGTACAATATCCATGTTGCTCCATATTGCAATAGTAGCTTTGTACCAATTTTCCCCCTACTCTTACATAATACACGTCTTCAAACATTTCAAGTATCGGCTGATCGTGGTACTCGGATCAGAAACTGTTCCAGCCATTATGGTCAATCTGGCCCCACCAAGTTAATCTTAACTAGAGTTCAACGGTTTCATACCTTCGCCAACGATCTCACAACGATCTGGCATTTACTACCAAGGAACCAATATTTTCTCAATTATGCAAATGAGGTCTTCATTTGCATGCCCAAAATCTGCCCATCTTCTCGTTCTCAATTACATATGTCAGTACAGTATTTACAGAATAGTCCTATCATGTATTTGCCTATATAGAATTTGCCCATTACGCAAATTTGATTTTGATTTCCCTAAATATTCAATTATGTCAAGCATCACTTGACGATCCGTTGACCAGTTTTTAAGTTTTCCCCAAGAGCTGTAACACTTAAAATCTTGAACCTGACGTGACTTGGTTCTGAAATTCCAGGAGGCCCGGTCCATTATCGAACATAACCTTCGTCTTTGCTGCCGTACCCATCCACTAAATATCATAAACAACCACCCACAGCTTCTCGAGTAATGCTCTACACATAAAAGTCACAAATCCAATCCGCTGCAGCAATGTCGGAACACTACAGGTGAACCTGAACTTTGTTTCAACAACTGCTACTCACCTGCCAAATATCATTAAGATCTTCCGTAAATCATTTCATCAGGTTGGTAAACGACTCAAATGCAAAGTTCTTTCTATCACAACCATTTATTTTTCAAGCCAACGTTTCGATGACCTTCTGTCATCTTCATCAGGGCAATTCTGTCTGGTTTACTGTGCACTGACACTATGTGATGAGGGGGGGGTATAAACTTAGTCATGTTTGGGATCACGTTCTTAAAAACTGACATTGGTTTTCTTATTGTTTGTAACTATTATGATTCCTAACAATACACATGTAACAAGACTTTAAAAAATTTCTATTTGGGACTGTGATAGCTCAGTATTGTCAGTTAACAAATCTTATATTATAAATAGAAACACTTTACAGTTGGAACCGCATATTTCCCTATGATGTAACAACGCCTAGTATGTATGTCACAATTACACTACGTTCCGGAACGCATTGTAAACAGACAAAACTAGCATAAGTGCACTGTGAACTATGTAACACCTTAAGTGCACTATGCACCAAGTAACATCTAGTGTCAGTGCACAGTAAACCAGTCAGTATTGCCCTGATGAAGATGACAGGTCATCGAAACGTTGGCTTGAAAAATAAATGGTTGTGATAGAAAGAACTTTGCTATTCAATCATTAAGATCCACTCACAGCTTCTTGAGTTCTGCTGTGCACATACAAGAAATAAATGCATAACATCCTGCTGCAGTACTGCTGGAAAACGCCAGGTGAACCATTTTTAAGTTGACCTTTGTTCGTACAACCACTATTCCCCTATCAAATAACATGAAGACCCATCCACAGCTTCTCGAGTTATGCTGCTGACATACATTCAGACCCAGACTCAACTATGGCCGAAAGAAAAACATTGACCATTTAAAAAGATTTGATAGTGCCCGGATATTTCAACTCTGACGTGGTAACTTGCTCATTTTTCACAAGTTGTTTTACAGTCCTACAAACCTTTGATTTAAACACAGATTACCCCCCCCCCCAAAAA